GGGCAACCTCAGTCCTGTCCACGTGCAGATGTGGAGAGCAGGGGCACAATGAGGAGGGGTCCTTGCCTCAGCATAAGCCCTGGGGGTGGTCCTGGTCATAGGAGGATCCTCCTGCCCCTTCCCCTGCCTCCCCTGTGTTCAGGTTGAGTGGGGTAGGACTGGCTTCTCAGAACAGGCAGAACAAGGTCAGCCGGTGTGCTAAGGGGGCCACTTCCAGGTCACCCTGCTGGGAATGCACTCCATCATCAGGAAACGAGGGCAGTGCCTGGGCTCCACTGCCTCTGTCTTCACTCAGGCTGTGATTTGGGGAAGCAGCAGGGGTACTTGAATTTCAGTGGGACCAACAGTTTCTGACACCAGCACTGCCAATCCCTGGGCTGCCCCACCCTTATCTGGTCCTCACTCCCTGTGCCCCCAAGCCCCTTCCAGTCAATGTGTTCCAACAGCTCCAGGCCCCAGAGGCATGATCGAGGGTGAGAGGTAATAGGTATACAGCAGAGCTCCCTGAAGGCATCACCCTCATGGGCTCCCCATTAGACTGTTCCTCACTCTGCTGCCTCCAGGGTGGCGCCTGGCCAGGGTCTATGGGTGAGGGCAGGGGGCTCAGTGAACATCCCCTCTCCATGCCACAGGCCTGCACAAGAGCCCTCCTTTCCCTTCTCCTCCCTTCTTCTCCTCAAATCCTTTCAAGGCCCCTCTGTGCAGCATCTCAAAGACCTTGGGCCTCAGGGCTCACCCCCGACTGCTCAGCCACCCCAGGTCCTGACCTCACTCCATACTCTAGGCTCACCTGTCCTTGACCCAGCTGTGCTAGTCCTCCTGAAGGCTGAGCCCCTCCTGCTTTGCCCCTGGGGCCAAGACACAAGTTGCTTTACTCCTCTGAACCCCAATTTCCTCAGGTGGGAACAGTAATACAGGTAACTCTGCTCACCTCCCCCTGCCCCATCTGTTGTGTGAGTTTCTTTGCCAAGGAAATGCCCATCCACTGCCAGGTGTTGTTTTCAATGGCCCTCCAGGTCTCCCTTGGCCCCAGGCAGCCTGGATGCTGGGTCACACAGGCAGTAAGATGGAAAGATGGAAAGAGGGCAGCAGATGGAGACCGTGTGGTGCTTGTGCCTCATCTGCCATGGGGCTACTCTGATCCTCTGGTCCTTTTGGAGGCAGCTCTGGCAGGCAGTGGGGCAATGGGCACAACCAGTTCTTCTGGAACTGCAGAGCCTCAGGCTCTGCTTGCAGCAAGTTCGACTCTCCTGTGGGCTCTGCTGATACCTTCACAGGCCTGTGGCCCCTGCCGAGCTCTGCCTCTTCTGCAGCTCTTCTGTTTGTCCTCGTAGGGAAGCTTCCTTATGTCACAGCACAAGATGCCCCTCCCTGGCTCTGGCAGCCCTTGGAGGAAGTCCATGCCTCTCCCACATGCCATCATTTGAGGATCACCAGTCAGTCTGCAAGAGCCCATGGATGCATTTCTGATTGTCCCAAGTCCCCATGAAAATGTAACTCAAAATGCATGGTGGCTCACACCTGTAATCCTAGCACTTTGGGAGGCCAAGGTGGGCGGATCCCTTGAGGTCAGGAGTTCATAACCAACGTGGTGAAACCCAGTCTCTGCTAAAAATACAAAAAAAAAAAATAGCCAGGTGTGGTGGCGGATGCCTGTAATTCCAGCTACCCAGGAGGCTCAGGGAGGATAATCGCTTGAACCTGGGAGGTGGAGATTGCAGTGAACTGAGATTGCACCATTGCATTCCAGCCTGGATTAAGGAGAAGAAAGAGAGAGAGACAAAGACAGAAAGAAAGACAGACAGAAAGATGAAAGAAGAAAGAAAGAAAAAGAGAAAGAAAGAAAGAAAAAAGAAGGAAGGAAGGGAGGAAGGGAGGGAGGGAGGAAGGAAGGAAGGAAGGAAGGAAGGAAGGAAGGAAGGAAGGAAGGAAGGAAGGAAGGAAGGAAAAAGGCAGGCAGGCAGAGAGAGTGTAACTTGAAGAGCTGGGCATGAGGCAGTGAAGCCTCTCCTGGGCTTTGCCTCCTCCTGGCCCCAGACTAGAGGGAACACCAGTGTCCCCGTGTGTGTCTGTGGCTGGCCGCTCAGCACTACCCCTCCCTGACTGTCTGAGCTGGCTCTCTGCACGCCCTGCCCTTGGGTCAGGGGGTCACTTGCTCTGAACTGGGCACTACACGTTCACCCCAGAGAATGTCATCATGGGGGTCAGCCCCACTTTCTAACCTGAGGAGCTCTTCTAATATTCTGTTTCCAACCTCTCTCTGATCTCTGCCCCTAGTCTGTGACAGCCATACAAGGAGGCTGGCTTCCCACCAAGCTAGCTGAAGGCTCATGCTCTCCTCGCCTCAGCTCCCCCAGCAGTCAGACAGGGGAACGTGGGTGGTCCTGGACTATACATCTCTGGGGCTGGTCAAAGACCAGGTACCCAGGGATTGCTGGCAGAGGCTACAGGAGGCCAGAGTCTAGGAGCAAAGCTTTGGGGAGAGGCATCAGCCCCAGGCTCCCTAGTGTGCAGTCTGTCTGGTGGGCTCTGGCTGCTGCTGCTGCTGTGGCTGGCTGGCTGCCTGCTTCTGGGTCAGCACACCTGCACCTGCCTATGCCTTACACCATATTCTTGCAAAAATCCCTTCCTGCTAGAGTAGCCAGGGGAAGTTTCTGTCTCCTGTGACTCGGTCCCCAGCTGGTAGTGTAGGCCCATCTATATGTGAGCCTCTGGTCTCTGGGTCAGAGAAGTAAAGAGAATGGCCCAGGCCACCCAGTGAGGAAAGCACAGGCCCCATGAGCTCCCTCGGTCCGCCCTGTGCCCACGCTCTCCCAGCTGCTTGGCATCTGCTGCGATGTTTTCTCTCCTACCATTCACTTCACGCCCCACGCTGCTGAGCCTGTTTAATTGCAGTATGTGACACGCATGATATCGGGGTCATATTTAAACATGGCAAGTTCAACTGATTAGAAACCCTTTGTGCAAATCCCTCAGCGAGTCCAACAGGACTGCCTTTCTTATTTTTAATAACAGCAAAAGAGAGAGCACAACGCAGTGCAGTCAAATGTCCTCCTAAAACTGTGTTTCCCAGAAGGAAACAGCATACATAAGCTGGACTTATTTCCCTTCAAGCATTGGATGTCATTTCTCCTGGGAGGTTGTGCTGAGGCAGGATCTGGGTGTGTGGGGATGTAGCAGGTGCCTGGTGAATGGAGCCGTTGTGATGATGGTGCTCCAAACTGGGGTCTGATCCTCTGCCAGACAGGGAGGCTGGCCCAGGCCCCAGAGCCTGAACCAGGGGTTCTCTAAGTGTGGTCCCAGGGCCAGCAGGTTCAGGGTCACTTGGAAACGTGTTAAAATGCAAATTCTCAGGCCCCACCCCAGATCCTGTGGGGGGGACAGAAGGCGGGGTGGGCAACAGCCTAAGCTCTTGTCCTGACTCAGGTCTGAGAACCCAGGCCCAGGGCTGCCCACCGGTCAGACAGAGAAGTCCAGATAACAATGGAACCTGTGGCCAGGGCTTGTGTATTGTCACTGGACCCCCCAGGGGATTAGCACTTTAAGCCGTCAAAGAAGAGGGAATTAACTTTTGCTGAGCACCTGTGAGGTTTAATTTCTCACGTACTCTCCATGGCAACCCCACCAGGCTGTCATTCCTCTTGAACGTTAAAGATACATGTTGGAGCAGATGACCATCATTACACAATGGATGTGCAGCACAGCCAGGCGTCCAGATCTGAATCCCACGCCCTCCTCCGCCACCATGGGCCTCAGGGACATGCTTCTAGTACAGTCAAGGATCTTGGGTGACATAAAGGGTGGGACAGGGGATGAAGGATCTTTAGTTGGCCCCACACTGCCTCCTCTATGCATCTATCTCCCACTCTTCTCTCCCTGGCCTGGCTGCTCTGAGGGCCTGGGGAGAGGCAGAGACAGATTGGGTATAGGGAAAGCACATATTCTACCAGGCACCCCTGGACATGTGCTGTTGACCAGGCATAGCATTCAGTGGGGACAGGACTTGGGCAAGGGTGCAGGCTTGAGTTGGGGTGCAAAAAGCCAGTCTGGGTAGATGCTCCCCCTCTGTGGGACCCGGATCCCAGACATGGTGGACAGAGCAGGGCTGCAGCATAACGCACATGGACCCTGGGCACTTAGCCTTCGTGGGCCTCTTCCTGCATGAAATGAAATATTTAAAATCAGAGTTTACAACTGCGTTTGTATAAAGATGAATATACTCCAGGCTGGATTCATTATTATTTTATTACACTGTTTTTCTCTTCTGATTTTAAAATAGCGCAGTCCTAGGACTGGTTAGAGTGTTTTCTGGGCAGGCCCTACGTCCTTAAACCTCCTGAAAGAAAGCAGCAAGGACTTCCCTCTGCCCCGGTGTGGGGGTGATGGTTCACTTACAACCTATCTGCAGTTAGGTTCCATGCCTGGAAAGGGAGGTGGGAGGCAAGAGGGAGCCGGAGGCCAAGACTTAGCTCCCAGACATCCTAGTCCACACTTGTCCCCACCAGGTGTGTGAGTGCCGGCACACTGCTGAGCCTCGCTGGGCCTCCGTTTCCTGAACTGGTAAACGAGTATGCTGAGCGGACTGAGCTCTGAAAGTTTTCGGAGCTTGGTAAGCAGAGATCACAGCAGAAAGAGAGGCCGCTCCTGCCCCCAGGAGGACAGAGGCACCTGAGTCTCCCGTGCAGGAGACAGACCTAGGGGACCCGCGCTGCGCTGGGGATGTACAAATGTGCAAGGTGCCTGCTGCTCTCTCTGAGAAAACACTCCTAGGCTCCCAGGGGCCCAGCAGCGCGGCGGGCGGGATGATCCTGGGGGCCCCGGGGGCGGTGTGTCTGTGCGTGCCCATTCCCGCGGATACTAAAGCCCGGGGGCGGGCGGGGCAGGGGCCTGGACGAGCGCTCGGTGACCCTCCCGCGGCCAGGTTTGGGGAGGCGGAGCGTCCCGGAGGTCCGGGGCGGGCACCGGGGCGGGCCCCAGGGCGGGACGGGGGTGGCGTCGGTGAAGCCGGCTCGGCGGCCCGGCTAGTCATGCTGCTGGCGGGCTCCGGGCGCCCTGGCGGCCACCATGCTCAGCGTCGTGCACTTCCTCCGGAGCTTCTTCAAGGTAAGAGCAGACGTCCGGGCTCGGGGTCGGGTTCGCGGCGCACTGCGCGGGTGGGGCGGAGCACAGCCTGCGCTGGCCGGGGCGCCCCGGGCGGTCCCCTGGGCACCGGGTGGGTGGGGACACCCTTGTTGCTCCCCACTTTCCGACGTGCACACCGGAGGTGGCGTCCTGTGAAGTGAGGCCGACTTGAGCGCTGGGAAGGAGGGGGCTCCTTTGGGGGCCGTCTGGACGGTGGCCCCGGGCGAGCCCCTGAGCCGGCCTGGGCGCGTGGGGCACTCGGAGCGGCTGCCGCTCGGCGCAGTACCGCCTGTTTCGGGAAGGACTGCTGGTGCCGGCCCGCTGGGTGCGGGAGAAATGGTTGCTGTTGTATTTCCCGGGCTGAGGGTACGCGAGAGCGCAGCAGCAAGAGGCTGGAGCTGGGGCCAGGGCCAGGGCCCGGGCTGTTGCGCTCCTGCACAGGGTGTCCCCTCTCTGGCCTGATTTCCGGGCCCGCTTACCACTGGGGACCCACTCCGTTGGCACTCCTCCACCTCGCTACCCCCACAGGGACCCCAAGGTGGGCAGAGGCTCCGAGGCACGGTCAGGGGTGGCCAGCCACAGGTTACCAAGCCCCACCTGCCCAGGTGAGCCAGCGGGAGGGCGGGTTCGATGCCCGGTGGTGCTGGGCTCTGACTGCCGGAGGCGGGGAAGAGCCGCCAGCTCTCAAAGGCAGGTCCCGGGGGAGGCAGACTTGTGTGGGGCTGTCGGGCGGAAGGGGCGGGAGGGTGCCCTAATTGGCTGGGCAGCCACCTTCTACCAGAGGTGAAGACGAGAGGGTGTGGTTGGAGTTCTGTGGCCCTGAGTGCTCTGGTGAAAGGCGCAGGAAGCCAGGTGACCCAAGGCAGACCTGCAGGAGCTCTGCCCTCGCTCAGCCTCTCCGCTGGCCAGGCATCAGCTCCCACCCCCAGCAATAATGAAGTGATACAGGCATCCAGAGTGGAGAGGGTGGGACAGCCAGAAGGTGGCCTTTCAGAAACCTGTGCTGGTGAGTACGGGAGATGTAATGGAAGAGCTTAGACCCCCTCAAATGCTGACTGTCACTGAGGAGGTATACAATCTTGAGACAATGACACAACCACCTGGGTCTTTGTTTTGAAAAATGTGGGTGATGACTCCACACTCTCCACACCTTTCAGGATTAGTGTGAAGGTCTTAGAAAACATTGAGTGTGGACTGATGCCTGTAATCTCAGCACTTTGGGAGACGGAGGCAGGTGGATTGCCTGAGGTCAGGAGTTCAAGACCAGCCTAGCCATCATGATGAAACCCCATCTCTACTAAAAATACAATTAGCCAGGTGTGGTTGTGAGCACTTGTAATCCCAGCTACTCAGGAGTTTGAGTGGCTTGAACCCAGGAGATGGAGGTTTCAGTGAGCAGAGATTGCACCATTGCACTTCAGCCTGGGCAATAGACCCATACTCTGTCCAAAAAAAAAAAAAAAGGAAGAGAGGAAGGGCGGGAGGGAGGAAGGAAGGGAGAGGAAGGGAGAGGAAGGGAGGAAGGGAAGGGAAACGTGTGTTTATGAAGTGGTGAGCTTTGGACTTTGGGAAGGAAGGAAGGAAGGAAGGAAGGAAGGAAGGAAGGAAGGAAGGAAGGAAGGAAGAAAGAAAGAAAGAAAGACCGGCCTGAGTGTGTTTATAAGCCCTGGACTTTGGTTGTGCTGAACCTAAGGCAAGGGTGGCAAGCAGTTGTCCAGGTGAGAGGAAGGTGGCTGGGCAGAATCTGAGTCCCTGGGGGGTGGCCCAGGAGCTCCAGGAGCAGAGGCCGCTGGACAACTCTGGGCAGCCACCTTGCCTGCTGCTTGCTGCTTGGGAGGATCCCGGGATGAGAGCATTTGTGAAAGTATTCCTGAGACACACTGTCCTCCAGTTCCCCATCTATTCAGAGAGGCCTTTCCATACTTCCTGCCCTGTGTCTGCCTCAGGTCCCTGTAGCTCCTGAGACACCTGAGGCCTCTCCATACATACCACAGGGAGCATCACCTGTGCCCCTCAGAGGGTCTCCTTTCTGCTGTCCACATGGTAGGGGCTCTGACTGCCACAGCAGTCCACTTCTGGCTGTGCGAGTGTGTCTTGCCAAGCCACTGGCAACGTAGTTTATACTTGTTTCTTTCAGACCCCGGTCGTAAGGAATACCCTGTGATGACCCAGGTTGCCAGGCAGGTGAGGGAGCTACCTGCTTGAGTCACCACCTGGTACCTCCTGGTGTTCCCTGGGCTTGGTCCTATGGGACCCCCTGATGATGGGTGCTGGACTGGGCCAGAAAATGCCCACTTCATTCTGGGAACCTCAGATTGTCCGGGTCTCCCAGTCAGACTCTGTTAGCTGAAATGCAGCTAGTCTCCACCAAGCCCAGGACAAGGACCCCAAAGCCCCAGGTGTGATTTCTGGTAGCACTTGGTGCAGACTCTGCCTAGCACCCAGATCTACTCGGGCACGTTGGGCACCATGGGATCCATGGGGCCTGACAGCCATGTAGCAGAGTCCCTCCCCGTGCAGGCAGACCAGACAGAGAGCCTGAACCTGCCAGAGGCCCACACAGGTGCACTGCCTTGGGGTCACCCAGAAAATGAGTCGGAGGAACAGCACACCCAAGAGGAAAATATGTTGTCTCAAAAATCCAGGGGCTCACCCAGCATCATGTGTGGGCCAACATGATTTTGCTTTCAAGGGGTATCCCAAAATGTTCCAGACAGCTGGACACCCCTGCTGCCTGCCTGGAGCCATCACTGAAATGGCAGGCCCCTGTATTTTCATAGAATGTATGTCCTACACTCTGGTACCCATATGTCCTAACACTCAGGGTGCTTTGCTACTTGCTTTTGTCCAAGACCTATTAGTGTGCAGAAGACCTGCATGAGGTCCTAGGAAGAGAAAGGTCAAGGTCTCTGTTGGCTAAATTGTGGCACAGAATCAGTGAGCCAAGACAAGGCAGTGAAGGTAGGATGCTGTGCCCCATGGCAGGGAAGAGAACCTGCTTCCACAGATCCCTGAGTACTGTAGCAGGAAACACACACATAGGCACACACACAGGCACACCCACAGGCACACACATAGACACAACACAGAGACCCACACACAGATGCACACACAGCCACTTACGGGCACACATGCACAGACACACACACAGGCACACAAACAGGCACACACACAGGCACACAGACACACACAGGCACACACACAGATGCACACACAGCCACACACAGGTACACACACAGGTGCACATACACAGGCACACACACAGACACACACAGGCAAACAGCACACATACAAAGGCATACACAGGCACACAGACAGACACAAACACAAGCACACAGGCATTCACAGGCACACACACAGGCGCACACACACAGGCATACACAGACACACACACAAGCACACACAGGCACACAAACAGGCACACATACACAGGCACACACACAAGCACATACACAAACACACAGGCATAGGTTCACACACAGGCACACACACACAGATGCACAGGTGTACACACAGGTGCACACACAGGCACACACACAGATGCACAGGTGTTCACACAGGTGCACACACAGGCACACACACACATAGACGGAGTTTTCATCCAATCAGTGGCTCTACACTATGCCAAAGATTGTGGCGGGTTCCGTCCAGTAGAGAGTTGACAGTGGGACAGCACAGCTGATGAAAGAGTCCATTTGATTGAACCCAGAGCCGTCCACCGCATTTTCAAGGCCCTGTGTCTCCTGCACAAGCCTACCTGGCAGGTGAGGGGATGCGGCAGCGTCTCCTGCTTTGAGTGCTGGCGGTTCCTCAGTCTCCGGGGATGAAGCTTTGCTAACGAGCCCCTATTTTGAAGGCGCGGGTGTTGCAGAGCCTTCCAGTTAGTCTCTCCCACTGCAGAAGCCTCCACACTATGGCCCAGGGAGCCAGGATAGAGTTCCTGCCAGGTGTTGGCGTGTGTTTGTCACCTGAGCACTTGGGAGCTGGGGGAATTGCCACAGGACAGGTTTGCAATTCCAGTGGGCTGCCATGAGGTGGACCTAGGGCACAGCTCTCATCATGGCCTGCGTACCGCTGCCTCCAGCAAGCCTCCCTCCTGGTGGTGGGTCGCCAGGAATAGTGTCAGCTCAGAATCAGCCCTCAGAGATGCTGGGAGGTCCAGGTGCTTCTCTGTCCAGGAGCTCTGGAAGATTCACAGCATAAGCCTGTGCTGTTACACAGGTGACCAGCCTCCCCACAACTCAAGGAGCTTTGTGTCTATTGAGTGAAATCTGGGAATTGGGCAAGGGGCAATGGAGTTTATTCAGTCAGTAAATATTTGTTGAACACCTACTAAGCACCAGATATTGTTCTAGGCACTCATAGTAGACTCCTGCCTACAGATCTAGTTTTTAAAAGTTGGTTTTTTCACATTTCTATTAATGTTACACACATCAAATAGGACTCTATTGGCATTACCTGTGGATTTCAGTCCTGGCAGTGCCATGAGTGAGTCATCAGTGCCAAGGAGCCTCAGCATAGAACATCCTGGTGCCCCTCTGGCTGCCGGCACCTGAATGCTTCCTCCCATCCTCTGTCGTGCTGGCCCATGCTGGCCTCACGGTTCTCACCTGTAGAGTTTCCACCAATGAGAAGGTCTCCCATCAGCATCTCTAGCTGACAGAGAGCAGTGTCTGTGGCAATATTCCAAGCTGATGGCGTTCTCCTTCCTAAGTGTTTCTTGGTGCTTCAGGCTGGTGCAGGTCTTTTTGGCTCCTCTGAAGACATGGTTAGGGACACTGCACATACTGGTTGTTTCTGATGGGTCTCCATCAACACTGTATCCCTTTGGATATTTGGATTCCTTCAGGGGATTTTGGCTTTTCAGTTTCACCTTGTGGGCCCATTATCAAGCTGAGGCTTCAGGGAAGCAACAGCTCACCTGTTGACTCTCGAACTCCAGCATGGCAGGCGCACCCACAGCAGCCTGGGGTGGGGTGATGCTCTTCCCCCATGGTCGGGGACGTTCCAAACTCGTTCTCATCATTCTCTGGGGTTTTTGCTGGTGTGTGTTGGCACAGTCATCCTTCTCTGAAGTATGAGTCTTCCTCGGTGGTTTCACTTGTGATCAGTTCCCCTGGCCATGCTGGGGTCTGACTCTGCTCGTCGGCCTGAAGGCAGGGAAAGGGGCAGGGTGGGCATGAGCAGAGCATGCCTCACTCTACAGGGTGACTCGCTGGGGAAGGCATAACAGCCTGAAGCAGCCAGGGAGAGAAGTGAGGGCTCAGTGGGATTGTGAGCCCACAACGTGTTCCCACTCCTGTGGCGAGGGTCCCGCTCTCTCCCAAACTGTACTCTGACTGTCACTCAAGGAGCTAGAAAACAACACATCCTTGTGGCTTTGTAACATGCCAGTCTGCAGATTGCTGGAGTCAGACTGCTTTTTTGGTCCAGGGATATCTCAGGCTGGTGGCTGCAGGAGAGAAGAGATACTCACACTTTATGTAGAGTGGCAGAGAGCCCTGCCAGGACTGAGTGTGTTATTCCCACTTTAAGCTGTCCAGGGCAGTTAGAAGCAGCACGCACACCTGGCAGTCCTGGGATTCTTCATGCCTTTCATTTGGATTTTGTAGCAAGAGCCGTTTCCCCGCTCAAAAGCACCCAGTCATCACTTGGCCACCATTGATAATTTATTCTGGGGCTGACCATGCAGACAGTGAGATGCCAGAATTCCACATCTTCCACAGTGCTAATGTATTTCCACTGCTTTTGGCTTCAACCAGGTGAAATGCCCAGTCCAGCTCTCCTCCCACCTTCCTGCTGGTCTCTTAGCCGCAAGCATCCGGGTACCAGTTTCTTTACTAGTGAAGGATCCTGGCTGCAAAAGACAGAAAAGGGCTCCAGTTAAGTGAAAAAAGAGTAATGTCTTGGCAGGCTGGGGGTACCGCATTGGCTCAGCTTGTGCAGGGATGAAGGGGGTGAAGCGTGTGGGGCCTGTGCAGCTTCCCCAGGCATGGGCTCCACTGCCCTGCTGACAATACCCTCTAGCGACTCTCGCAGGCAGTGAGGTCTGTCCTCAAGAGCCAGGGTCCTGGCTGGGGCTTAGCTGAGCTGCCAGAGTGTGGGACGAGAGGACAGCTGCCTCCTTTCTATTTCCAAGATAGATGGGGCCAGATTTTCAGTTATCTTGGGGTGTCCTTCTACCCCAAGTCCTGGCAGCTGTTCAGCATGGGGCAGACAAAGCCCAGTCATGGCATACTATTGAAAAGTCCCATTGGGACTCACTTGGCTCCTCCACTTTTGTGGGTGAAGGAGGGTCTCAAGTCCAGTTTACTGGGGCCTCTGCCAGGGAGCCACCTACATCCTTGAACTCTTCCCGGGTGAAGGTCACAGCAGGAACACGTGGCTGGAGACCCTGAGCCAGGGTGGGCTGTCCTCGAGCCCTGCAGAAACTGGTCTCCTGCATGACAGAGTGGGCGGGACAGGCCCGGCTGGGGAGCCAGCAGCCTGCCAGGAGGCCCTCAGTGCCTCCCCTGGGCCATGCCTCCCACCACCCTGCACTTGCCAGCCTGGGGTGTGTTGCTGCTCAGAGGCACCAGTGCTTCCTCCTGCTATGGGTCTCCTCTCCCGCACCTGTGCTTTTCCTCAAGACCCTGCCTGTGCCCCTCAGCGTCCTCCCCTGACCTCACCAGATGATCCTCCTGTGCAACACATGTTCTCAAGCACCCCTGCATGCTGGGCCATGACGCAGCCTCTCCAAAGGTTGTTCTCTCTCTCTAGGCTTGGCTCTGAGGGCAGGGCCAGGGTTTGGAGCACAGTGTTTCCTCAAGAAATGTACTGAGTCTGTGTGTGGCCAGGTCAGAACCCCAAGGGGGCCCTGAGTGCAGAGGGCCCCAGGTTGATGTTTCTAGAGAAATGGACTCCTGAAACCCTCTCTCCAAACTTGGGTGCAGCACAGCCCTGCTCTCCAGGTGTGGGCTGGGCACAGCCTGCCCCTCCTCTGCATGCCTGTCCTCCCCTTGGCTTCAGTCAGGTGTCCTCAGCCCTTTCTGAGACTCCAGCCACTGTTTATAAGCCGGGGAGGTGCCAGAGCCCACAGAGGGTTTGCATTCACTTTGGGTCTTTGGTTTTGCTTGTTTCTCCCACTGAGTGCAGCTAGCTCCCTGGCTCAGGAGAAATGCCGTCTTTCTGGAGCCCTTTGTAATTTCCCCATCTCTGAAATGGGTTTCACCTCCCCTTCTGCCAGTCGTAAGGTGGTAAGGTTTAAACTATGTTGCCCACTGGGCGTGACCCTGGCTCTGGGACCTTCTGGGGATGTGGAGGGTGCTGCCTGTGAGGCCTCCAGCCCCATGTTGCCCTGTTGTAAAGGAGGTGGGCTGCCCTGCCTGGTGGGCAGAGTGCTGTCGGCCCTGTTGGCTGGATGTGAACCTGGGCAGTAAACCCTAGAGACCCTGTCCCACCCTGGCTAGCTTGAAATGCCTTGGGTATCAGCCACGTTTGCACCAAATGAGTCGATTTGTCTCTTCTACAGCCTTTGCCTGTGAACTAAAGATTGTCCATGCTTGAGAACTGGTCTACTGGGGAGCACTCCTTGGAAGTTGCCCCCTTCCTGGGTCCCTTTGTGAGGGTGATGGCCCCTGGGTGGGCCCACTCTTCCCATAGAGCTCTATGCCCTGGGGCACCTTCAATTAACCCCTCCACTCTCAGGAGTATGTGAAAATTAAAAATAACAAAACCAAGGAAAAGCATGTGAATTTCAGCATGCAGAGAGAGTGCCCAACAGCTCTTAGCCGTGCCCCCCAGCCTCTATTTCTGTCTTCCTCAAACCCGTATTTTTCTTATAACCAGTGGAGCTGAATGGAGACCCATCTCTGACACTTGGCCAAATGTGACGCTGCCTGATGTTGCCGGCCAAAGTTCCTGCTGTAGGTAGAAAGAAAGGTTTTGGCCGGGTGCCTGGCTCACATCCGTAATCCCAGCACTTTGGGAGGCCATTTGAGCCCAGGAGTTCCAGACCAGCCTGGGCAACATAGTGAGACCCCCATCTCTACAAAATATTTCAAAAAATTTAGCCTGGCATTGTGCACACGCCTGTAGTCCCAGCTACTTGGGAGGTTGAGGCAGGAGGATCATGGGAGCCCAGGAGTTCAAGGCTGCAGTGAGTAGTGATTACACCACTGCACTTCAGCCAGGGTGACAGAAAGGGACCCTGTTTCAAAACAAAACAGAACAAAAGAAAGTGTTTTTACAGAGGCCTGCTGACTATGAGAACATCCGCCTCAGAGCACAGTGGGTGTGGTGGGTGGGAGAAGCCGGGTCTGGTGGGGCAGTTTTCGTCTGTGTGAGAAATCAGGCTTGTGAGAAAACCTGGAAGCCACTCACAGGGTGGCACATCCCCAGAGCAGCACCAGGAGGGAGGGAGCTGCTGCCATACACACCAGCCCGGGCGGGCCTCCAGGGAACCAGCCCATGGCAGCAGCCAGACCTACGGTGTGGTCCCAAATGCGAACCTACAGTGACAGAAAGCACAGGAGTGGCTGCCTGGGGACAGGTGAGGGCGGGCAGGGGTGGGAGGGCGGGTGAGGAAGGACAGAGGCGGTGGAGATTTGCTGTGACTGTGCTCCTGTTTGCACACAGGTGCGCTTCCAGTGTGTGAAGTTATTGTGCATCCTTTACGCCTCAATCAAGCCAGGACCACCTCAGTCAGAAGGCATGCAGGCCTGGCCCACGGTCTGTTGCTCAGGACCTTCACTGAGAGCCCCTTGCTTCCTGCATCCGCTCCCCTGGCGCCCCATGCCCGGAGCCCAGGACGATCCTAGGGCAGCAGGCAGGCAGCGCAATGAGCCAGGCTCGCTGAGACAAGTGGTTCGTGCTTCCTCGCCTGAGTGCTCAGCTGAAACCAAGCCTGTCTTTGCGTCATCAGTGCTGTGTCCTTTCTAGCTGGTGCTGCCAGGGCCTAGGGCCCGGGGACTGTCACCCTGGGGTGACTGGTTATCCGAGACCCCCACAACCCAAGAGTCGCCTCATCTCAAGTGCTGAGTTCCCAGGAGCCACCCACACCAACTGCCACGCAGGACCAGCCTCCCTGCCCCACTTGGCTGTGCAGCCTAAGCCAGTCCTCCCTCTGAGCCCCAGGCCAGCGCCCTCCCTCCAAGACCCTCAGGAACCTGCCTGCCGGGGCTGTGACCCCCGCCACGGGGAGGTGCGCATGGGGAGACTGACATGGGTCGTCGAGAGAGAAGGGACTTAGGGCAGGATTCAGGCCTGGTAAGAGGGGCTTCAGGAAGCTGGACTTTGCTCAGACGGACGCCCATGGGAGGCGTGGGGGCAGCTCTAGGGTCAGGGGTCTTTCTTTAGCAGAAGGAGAAGAAAGCCCAGGCCAGATCTGGACACTTGTGGAGCACGAGGGGTCAAGTTCTGTGATACAGGTATGTTTAGCAGGAGCATCAGGGCCTGCTGGACACCAGATTCACAGGGCATGTCTCCATCAAATCCATAGACACGGGGGCTCCAGGCCCCCGATTCGATTGTACGGAGGAGGCCTGAGCAGGTCTTTTAGGGAAAGCCTGGGAGTAATTGTGATGTGCGCAGGCTAAGAGCCGGATGTGGATTCCTGATGCCCTGTGTCCATCAAGGAGACTCAGGCCTTTTCCAGCCTCTCCCTTGCTGGACAGCCAGCCCCTAAGCCTGATGCACGCTCCAGAAGCAGGCCCCCCTTCCCTTCCCAGGAATCTGGCCTTTCCGGACACTGCTCAGTGCCTGAGCTGAATCTGACAAAGTGGATGATATTAGTGACTGGGGTGCCTCCTGCTTCCTCTTGAATCTGCTTTTTCACCTGGAGTGTGAGCCTCAAAGCAGAGGAGGGCAGGGGAAATGCTTGGGACCTCACAGCCACACAGAGGGATCTGGAGGACAGGAGGTTTCAGTCACCACATTGGACTTGGAGGCACCAAAAGATGGTGACTGTGCACATTTGGTGTGACTTAATCATTCGCCCCTCATGGCAGTGACAGGCACATGTGCTGACGTTTGTGGAATATTCCTTCTTACCTGCAGGTTGAGTGCTCAATGCTGTGGCCCAGCTGCTTCTCCACCGACACTTGGCTCCGAGGTCCTGACTCCCTGGGGCAGGGGTACATTTGGTATCCTGTCCTCTCCTGGGTCCACCCAGGTCCCCTTTCTCTCTGTGAGTTCTAGAGTTTAGAAAACACTGGGTGAGGCTTCACAGGAACAGCGCTGGCTTACAAAGGTGAGGCCTCCGCCTGGGGGTGAGTCAGGCATGGAGGGCAGCCGTGAAAGCCACTCTGCCAGGACGGCCGATGGGCCCACCCCTGTGCCAGCTCCACTGCCTCTGGCACGAGGGCCTGTGTGCCCTGACCCTCCCTACGACCCCTCTGAGAGGCTGGGCCTGGGCCTCAGGAGTGTGTGGGATTGGAGCTGGGCCACTGGGCTGGGGTGTATTTAGGAACAAAGCTGACCAGCTGAATGGAGGCCACCAGTATGAGGGAGCCACGTGGTAGCAGGGCTCTTCCAGAAGAGAGGAAGGAAGGAAAGTGGCCTGAGGACACGGGGCCTCTATCCAGGTGGGCAGGGAGGTGGGCTGAGGCCAGTCTCCAGGGTCAGAACAGGCCATCTACACAAGGTGGGTTGTGTTGGCCTGAAGAGACCTCAGAGGGGCTGCAGCAGGCCTGTGGACCTGTGCTCTGGGCTGCTCCCACCCGCCGCATAGGGCAGTAGGCCCTCAGACCAGGGTCACATCTGAACCACTTTGTGCCCTGCCCAGCGCGCTGACTCGACCCCAGTCCAGCGCATTCATCCACACACAGCACTTGCCTCATCTTGTTAGAGCCAGGCCTGTGCTGGGTGCCGGGGAGACCAAGCCATGAGCAAGATGTACCTGCAGCTCCTGAACAGAGGCTTCTGAGCCCTCTGGGTGGTAAAGGTTGGCAGCCTTGTGAGAATTCAGTGAAGGCTCTGAGTCCTGGTCCTGGAAACCCTCCCTACCTGGATGAGCAGGCACCTCCTGCCTGGCATTCCCAGGTCCAGGAGCCCGTAGACTGCAGGGAGGCTCCTGATGCAAACCCCAGCTCCTCTCAACAGTGCCATGGTGATGCTGTGTCTTTTCCTCCCTCCAGTGCCGGGCTTGGAGCTTTGAGTGGAGCTGGGGCTCTGCATGTTTTAGTGGGGGTTCCAGTCACATGACACTTGGCTCCCCATCTGGGGTGAGACTAGGCCCTGAGGGGATGTGTGTGGTTGTCAGTGTCAGTGGGACAGGGAGACAGGGCACAGGAGACAGGCCTGGATGGACAGCGAGGCTTGGGGTGATGGGCCCTGATGGGGAAGTGCCAGGTGCCAGCCCCTGTCCTGGAGCTGGAGGGTGGTGGGCAGAATAGGAGCTGTGCATTGGAGAAGCTGAGCAGGCCCTGGGCACTTCGTACCCTCCGTCCCAGGGAGGCCAGGTGGGAGCACCACCCACCTGTGCACCCCCTAATGGCAGAAGAGGAGAGGACAGCTGATGGGGACTCCCCTGCTGCCCCCTCTCCTCCTTGGATCCCCAGCCCCAGCCGAGAGCACCTCTTTCCGCCCTCCCTTAGGATCTGGGGTCTGGGTTGTGGCTACATGACCCCTCTCAGTGTCCCAGCTTGAGTTTGTTTCTCAATGTGCCCACCTCCCGGAGCTCCCCAAAGAGTAACAGGAGAGTGATGAAAAAGCTGGGGAGCACTGGGGCAACGACACCCTGCTTTGTTGGGTGTTTAATGTCAAGTCAGAGGGGCAGAGAGGTGCGGGCAGGGCAGGGGAGGCTTTAGGGTGCAGGGAAATTTTTTATGCCCTACAGGGAGGGCCACCCCCTTTGCTGCCATAGAGACAGCCTTACCTGGGGCCCCAGTGCCCTAGGCTGTGAGGTGGGGCACGGTAGCCACTCTGCTCCTGGGTGGCACCCCATAGGCTGGCCCAGGCCGCCTGTTTATCCTGGAACCTGAAGGAGGAGACACTCAATTTCTGAGCAGAGGGACCACTGTTGCGTACCTCCTTTCCGTGATCTAGGATACACTTTTTTTTTTTTTTTTTTTTTTTTGAGACTGAATCTTGCTCTGTTGCCCAGGAGTGCAGTATTGAGATCTTGGCACTCTGCAACCTCCCCCTCCCAGGTTCAAGTGATTCTCCTGCCTCAACCTCTGAGTAGCTGGAATTACAGGCACATACAACCACATCCAGCTGATTTTTGTATTTTTAGCAGAGACAAAGTTTCACCGTGTTGTCCAGGCTGGTCTCAAACTCGTGACCTCAAGTAATCTGCCCACCTCAGCCTCCCAAAGTACTGGAATTACAGGCATGAGCCACCTTGCCTAGCCTAGGATATACTTTTTTTTTTTTGAGACGGAGTTTCGCTCTTGTTACCCAGGCTGGAGTGCAATGGCTTGATCTCCGCTCACCGCAACCTCCGCCTCCTGGGTTCAGGCAATTCTCCTGCCTCAGCCTCCTGAGTAGCTGGGATTACAGGCATGCGCCACCATGCCCAGCTAATTTTTTGTATCTTTAGTAGAGATGGGGTTTCACCATTTTGACCAGGATGGTCTCGATCTCTTGACCTCATGATTCACCCGCCTCAGCCTCCCAAAGTGCTGGGATTACAGGCTTGAGCCACCACGCCCAGCCCAGATATACTTTTTAAAACAGTTAATACTTTTGAAATCAAAATGCATTTATAGTTGATGTGTACATTTAACATAGTGATTTCTTTCCCCTTCAAAAGCTCCCCTTGACTTAGTGGCATCTTTGTAAGCAGGAAACAGGATGGCCGTAACTGCACATGTGGTCGGGGCCAGCGTGGGGTATTCCAGGGAGGCCCCAAACCCTGACCCCACCGGGAGGCTCCCCTACTGCTGGGTCAGCCTCCTGGTCCCACATTTGTAGGGCATCCTCAGAGGGACTCACAGAAGCAGCTGGGCCAGTGCCCCAGGGAGGGGGCAGCCTCTCCAGGGGCCCCTGGGAAGTATGTGGCATCAGGTCTGTCTGTACCTGGGGAAGGAGGAGCCATTGGCCACTGCCTGCTGTGTCCCTGGTAACCCTCATGCAGAGGGGTCTCCTCTCAGAACACCATGAAGAGCAGGTGTTTCTGGTGATACCCATGTCCCAAGTCTGCCTAGATAGCTGCTGCTGCCCATGGCCAGGGGCTTTCTGGGAGCTGGCTCTGTTCTGCTCCCTCCATGAGCCCAGTCCTGGGAACCTCTCCAGTGGTCCAACATCCACAGTCAGCATCTAAACGACTGCTGCTTAGACTCCCAAGTCCAAATTGCCCTGCACCTCCCCCTATAAGGACACAGGTTCCCCCAGGTGGGCCAGTCCACAAGGTGGGCACATAGCCCATGGGCTGCAGGACAGATTGTGGGGGCTACAGTGCCCCGAGCAGAGGTGCATTGGGCCATAGGGTGGTGTCCATACCCCACTTCCCTACCTTCAACTGTCCTTGTGATGGAGGCTCCCTCGGTAGACAGGGGACCGAGGTGCAGGTGGAGGTGAGAAGAGCCACAGGGGAAGGGGGAGCAGGAGTCAGCGTCAAACCCCCTGCCATGGTGCAGCCTTTCCAACAACATCCCTTTGGATGACATCCAAGGCTGTGGGGCCTCTGTCATGCATGAGCTTCTCTGGGGCGTTGTCAGAGGCAGAGGCTTCTGCTCCACACAGGCTTGAGGGGCTCCAGGCTCTCTGTGCAGCCTGAGCAGCCCCTGAGTTTCCAGAACCACCCTGCTGGGTCCCCTGGCAGAGCTGTGGGAGGACAGGCAGGACATGAGTCCTCCAGCTTTCCGTGCTGTGAACACCACAGTCCTGACCGCTGTGGAGCTGAGAAGTGCCTGCTCTTTGAGAAGGATGGTTGGGATAGGACCGGCCAGAGGCCAGCATGTGCCTTCCCTGCCCTGACAGCCGGGTGGCTGCGACCTGGGAATGCAGGGCAGAGAGGACACTAATCTGGATGCCTCTGTCATTGGCGCCGGCGGTCACGGGGGTGCTGGCGCCAGCTCCGCAGACAGCTCTGGTTCACATCCAACAGCCATGCAGTGCTGGTGCTCAGGCTGCTGTGTCTTCACAAGGGAAGGAAGCCCACATCTTCCCGTGACACAGGCGGCTGGGAATGGGGTGACAATGTGCTCTCAGCCAGAACTTGGTATGGTTCATGCAGGTTGGGAGTGCTACTTTGCTGCAATGCCGAGGCCTGCACCTACTGGGCAGGTGCTCTGGGCCTGGGTGAGCAGCTGCACATTGTCTCTATCTGAGAGGATGGGGTGGGGGCCTCCAGTCTGTCTGCAGAGCAGCAGGGCAGAGCCTGACACTTTGTGGGTCACACAAAGAACAGTAATGACACCAACACAGCTCTTGGCCAGTGTGATCCTTCTGACTCCTGCTGTCCTAAGCTCATTCGTGAGGTGAAACAAACTCCTGACCCTCCCAGGGCCTCCATGGACACAGCCAGCAGGAAATGCAGGGGTGTTGACTTGCTCTGCCAGTCTCTCGAGTTGTGTGTAAGGCCCAAATGAGACATCGTGAGTTAATGTTTATAGAAGCTGGGAGACCTGGTCCAAATTCAAACACCACCACTTGCTAAGTTGGTGCTTAACTGTCCTGAACTTCAGTTTCCTTACCTGGAGAATCAAGACAATGAGACTTGCCTCATTTTAGGATTAAATAATGTCTAAAAAGACACAGGGCATGTGGCAGCACTTTGTCTGTAGCTATTTTATTATTCCAGATGGTGTTTTTACTGTGGGGGAGATGAAACATTCCAACCTCACAACGTTTATTCTTTTTTTTTTTATTATACTTTAAGTCCTGGGGTACATGTTCAGAGCTTGCAAGATTGTTCCATAGGTATACACATGCCATGGTGGTTTGCTGCCTCCATGCCCCGGTCACCTACATTAGGTATTTCTCCTAATGTTATCCCTCCCCACACCCCCCACCCCTGCAACAGATCCTGGTGTGTGATGTCCCTCTCCCTGTGTCCATATGTTCTCATTGTTCAACACCCACCTATGAGTGAGAACATGTGGTGTTTGGTTTTCTGTTCTTGTGTCAGTTTGCTAAGAATGACAGTTTCCAGATTCACCCATGTCCCTACAAAGGACATGAACTCATCCTTTTTTATGAGGGCTGCATAGTATTCCATGGTGTATATGTGCTGCATTTTCTTTATTCAGTCTATCCTTGATGGGCATTCGGGTTGGTTCCCAGTCTTTGCTATTATAAGTAGTGCCACAATGAACATTCATGCGCATGTGTCTTTATAACAGAATGATTTATAATCCTTTGGATATATACTCAGTAATGGGATTGCTGGGTCAAATGGAATTTCTATTTCTAGGTCCTTGAAAAATCACCACACTGTCTTCCACAATGGCTGAACTAATTTATACTCCCACCAACAGTGTAAAAGTGTTCCTATTTCTCCACATGTTCTCCAGCATCTGTTGTCTCCTGATTTTTTAATGACCACCATTCTAACTGGCGTGAGATGGCATCTCAATGTGGTTTTGATTTGCATTTCTCTAATGACCAGTGATGATGGGCTGAGTGCCTGCTCCACCGCTCACCTGGAACTGCTGCTGGGGATGCGGAGGCTCAGGCAGGCCCTCCCCTCTGACGAGCACATGGGTCTAGTGGCAGAGACAGGTGGGCTGGCCAGCAGCAACAGTCACCTTGCAGTGAGGAATAGGACCAGGGACATGGCTGGTGTGGGAAGCCCAGGAAAGGAAACTATCAACCCTGTCAAAAGGGAAAGGGGAGCCTCGGGGAGCCGAGAAGGTGGACAGGTGAGAGCAAACCACGGAGTGGTGTCAGACAGAGCACAGGCTCAGGGTACAGCGTCAGGGTGCCATTCTGCCGCACGACCTCCAAGGATGCTGAACAGATGAAGCAATGCCCTGGCGAGACTGACTGTGGGTGGGGGAGCCCTCAGGCCAGACTGACTGTGAGCCGGCGATGGTGGGAGCAGGGGACTGACTGTGAGCCCAGAGCTGTCCCCGGCTGAGACTGACTGTTGGGTGGGCGGGGGAGCCTGGCCCAGAAGGTGGGACGCGCAGCGCAAAGGCTGACATCCCTGAGTGAGCACGGTGTGCAGAACTCCAAGAGTCTCAGGAGGAGGCTGCAGGTTGAGAGAGAGGTCTGGAAGGCAAGCGGGACTGGGGTGGGCCTGAGCCCCGACGCCTGCCTCCTGCAGGGTGGAGAGCTGCGCTGGGGAAACAGTCAGATACAGCTTGTGCTGAGTCTTGAGCCAGGGCGCACAGGAGGCGCCACTCCTCTGGGTTGCCCTCCATGAGCCCAGAGCCCAGGAATAGAGAAGGGCTGAGCGAGATGAGGTCAGCCTTGGCAGCTGGGAGCTCGGCAGCAGGCAGCCGCCCTTCTGCAGGCTCAGAGTGAACTGCTCGCCCTGGGTCGGGCCTGCCACCTGGGCAGGGGGGAAGAACCTCCTTCCAGCAGCCTGACACTCCCATCAAGGGTCAGCAGAGTGCGTCTGGCACCAAGGCTATGCGTGTTTTGTGCTTTGGGTTCCAGGAGGCCATTTCCACAGCCCTGCTCTGCCTTCATATGGCACCATAAGTCACCCTGGAATCCCCATGCCTATTCCAAGGCCCAGTTTGGGGTCTGCCAGAGGATCTGCATGACGGTTCACAGTGCATGTTACTGTGCACGTGGCCAGTGATGGATCCCGATGGCAGAAAATTTAGAGTAGCAGGTGGAGGAGGGAGCCCCAAGCCTGAGGTAGGAGACCCGCTCTGGGCACACTGCTTGGCTGGTCTTTGCCTTCTTCCCTGGGACATCCTGCTGGCTTCACAGAGTTGTTTTTCAGACTTCCCTAGTCCAGGTGAGGTCTAGACAAGGGTTCTCACGCAGCCACCTCTCCCTTCTTTTCTGAGCCTCGATCACATGCCACTCTGCAAAGCATACAGTCAGTCTCCACCTGCCTGTTTCACAGGCGCTGTGAGGGAAGGGCACGTCTCCACTGGGCAGGCCTGGGCCTCTTGTGTGTCCTCTGGGGATGAGCTGCTGAGCCAGAGTGTGCTGCATGTGGTCCCGGCGCCTGTGCACATCAGTGTCCGGGAAGAGCAATGTCTCCTGTTGTCTTTGGCTCTCCTGGGGGCCCATGGTGCGGTCTGCCCCTCTCCAATGAGAGCGGGCACAGCACCAGGACACAGCATGTGAGCAGCAGCCTTGCTTGGGTCCATTGTTGTGAGAAAACCACACAACCCTTGTCATCATTCCCAGGAATGATGGGGCTCTATGGTGTGGATCGGGAGGTGAGCTGGAGGATGCAGGCCATAGAGATACTACGGGGGGCTTAGTTAGCCTTGAAGGATGGACAGTCACACCTGCAGGCTAGTCCCAGACTTGCCTATGCCTTGCCATGAGATTCTGGGCAGGTTACTTAGCCTGGAGGATAGAGGTCTTAGTCCTCTTGTCTGTCAAATGGGAATGTCCTGTCCTGCTCACCTCATAGGGTCACTGCGAGGATAAAATCTGATGATGTGTATGGAAATAGCTTGGGAAGTCAAGAAACATGACCAATGAAAGAGAAACTGTAAATAAAAAAATTATAGCATACCTGCACAAAATGGTTAATTAAATCTACAGAACCATTATGTCATAGCTGTAAGGCACATTCAGGTGTTAAAATTATAGGTCAAACCCTGTCCTGGGTGCTTGGGAATCAGCAGTGACACAGGCTGAGACCCTTGTCCTGGAGCTCATGCTTTGGCAGGAGGTCAAATAATGCACATTTATTCTGTGGATCGTGGCTCTATAAACCTGAGGTAACCACACTCCACCTCTTCCTTGAAAGTAGGGTGGGCCTCACCCCGGGGAATCTCTGCCCCGGCAGATATGGCCATTCAGGGCTTTTACTCCTCTCCTCTGCCAGTCTGGTGCTTTGGCTGTACCCCAGGCGGGTCTGGCTGCTGGCATTCTCATCTCCAGTCCCATGTTGCAGAAGCTCTGTTCCTGGCAGGTGCTGCTGAGAAGTCTAGGGATTACTTCCACACCCAACCCACACTATGGGGTGGAGCTGTGCTCCAGGCACAGCAGGCTGTGATACTGAGGCCCCAGTGTCCCCGTCTCAACTCACTCACAGGACGGAGGTTCCATGCCAGGAGGGATGAGACAAGAAGACCAAGGACTGCCAGCCAACCAGTGCCCACTGGTAGAGCGGGGATGTCATTGGGAAAAGGAAGCCCCCACCCCCAGCTCAGTGCTCTGCTGCAGGGCTTCTGCAGGGGGAAAGGCAGGCTGTACAGCTTTCCTAGAGGAGTCTAACTTTTTACTTTGAACAAAAAGTTTCCAAAAACAGTGCAGCTCTTAGTGGAGAGCAACTAAGAGGAAACTGGTAGGTTCATGAGTCAGGGGTCACCAAAACCACCCGCAGGCTTGACAATCCACTAGGAGTCACAGCACCATGAGCATAACTCTGAAAAGCTGTTATACTCATGGTTGTGGTTTATGACAGTGAAAAGATACAGATTTAAGTTAGCAGAGGGAAGAATACAGAAGGAAGCATCCAGGAGAGACCAGCTGCAAAATTCCAGGTGTCCCCTCCCAGAAAGTGGCATGCAGTGCCTAATCTTCAGCAGCAATGTGTGACAATCCATGTGAAGTGTTACAGCCAGGAAGCTCCCCAGAGCCTTGGTGCCCAGGGTTTTATTGAGGTCAGTCATATAGGCATGCGTCCATGCATGACTGAACTTAACTATTCAGACTCGGATCCCCCAGGGCCTCAGGCAAACAAAAGCAGGCAGGATATCCCAAGACCTCACAGATGATCTCTCAGGAGCCAATCAATAGCCAGTCTTTACTATGAAATGCGCAGTTGGAATAATCCAAGCCAGCTGAGTTAAGTCTTTATTGCTTACTTCAGGCAAAAGCAAAAGGCAGGGCAACCAGAAGTTTAAACAAATAATTGACCAATCAAAGAACAACAACCCACATGACAAGTATTAGTATCAGAATTGCCATAACGTTTTCCGAAATGTTTAGTTTTTAACAACAAAACAAAAAATAAAAGACATGCAAAGAA